CTCCTGCCTCAGCCTCCGAGAGTGGTGTGAATATTTCTTTTAAAATAAAAGTTATGATGTGGGGCTGAACAGATGGCTCAGTGGTTAAGAGCACTTGCTGTTCTTCCAGAGAACTAGAGAGTTCATGTCAGCTAGCTAGTCCACAACCATTTGTAACTCCAGCTTCAGGGAGCTCTGATTCCCTCTTCTGGCCTCTGTGAACATGTACACTCACAGACACACACACACACACACACACACACACACACACACACACACACACACACACATTCTACATGTTAAAAAGAAAAGATGAGAGTGGGGTTGAGCAGACATAGTAAGTACATAATATGTAGAGACAGTACCACCGACAGCCAAGATCATGCAAAGAGGTTTATGGAAACCCTCCTAAGAAAATCAGCAGTAAGGTGGTTCTGAGATATGCTGGCTTCCATCTGGGCTATGGGCAGGTGAGGGCAGTGAGACCCAGCAGGCACATGGACTGTTTCCAAAGAGCCCAAGAGTGAGGATCCCAGCCACTCACGGAAAGATGTTAATGGCTGGCCATTTGTGAGATTTGCTGTCAAATCCCCGAGAAGGCAAAGGCTGTTCATTACCTTCACACCCGCGCTTGCTGTTAAACATTTATAGACTTGGGGGAAGAAAAGAGAGGGGGAAAGGAAACTGCCACCAGGATGGATTAAACCAGTGTAAACACTGCAATACTAGGCTCAGTGGGGCCGGTTGCTCCTTGGAGCTCCCACATGCGTGTGGTGTGTGTGTCTGGCTTGGTTTCTTGAGACAAGGTCCTACTTTGTAGTCCAGGCTGTCTCTGAACACACAGCATTTCTCCTGCCTCAGCCCCCTGAGGGCTGGGATTGTGGGCACTACCACACCCCATACTGGTCTATGCTGCCTCCGGTTCTGGATTGCTATGTTTTTGAGGCAGAGAGTTCTAATATGGCTGGAATTTCTGTGCAGGGCCGGTTCCTGGTTTGTAGGGAATGGGTTCTCAGAACATCATTGAACTTGGATTTGATGCTGATTGGCCTGTAGGTTAGACATCTGTGCTCTGTGTGCTCTCTGCCAGGAAGGTAGGTGTGTGTATGTGTGCGTGTGTGTGTGTGTGTGTGTGCGCGCGCGCGCGCGCATGCACACACAGCACCAGCTCAAGTTCAGATGCATCTTCACCCTGGCTGTGCCTCGTATGAACTCTAGTCCTGCAGACCCAAGCTAGAAAAATCAAAGCCGTGAAGGAGTCAGACGTGCTTTCCCCCTGTTCTAAGTGAGGCCGTGGCACCTGGAGTGGGTGGGGACTTTTCTTCCGCCACTAGCCAGTTAGTGGCAGAGCAGGGCTGGGTTCTGTTTCCCTCCCTGTCAGCAGAGTTTCATCGTCACATATTATGTTCCATGTCACCCCCACCTCCCGCCACCTGCTCCACAGAAGCTAATTGTGTTTGGGAAATTTAAGTTGGTTTTCTCTGCAGAAAGTTTCCTTTTTGCAGGGTGGCTCAGTGGGTAAGCAGGAGGACCAGAGTTCGAATCCCAGCACCCATGTAAAAGAGCTGGGCACAGCTGTACACTCCTGGAACTCCAATGCTGCTTGGTAGAGACAGGAGGTCATTGGAGGTCACTGGGGCTTGGTGGCACCAGCCGAGTTCAAAGTTCAGCGAGAGACCCTGTCTCAATGGGACTAAGGTGGAAAGTGACAGAACAGAACACCTGATGTCCTCCTCTGGCCTCTGCGTGTGCCTAGGTGTGCACACATGCACACACGTGTGCACACACCCCCAGATGTGCCCCTCCCCTTTTAGACAACCCACCCACCCCGTGTTCACCTTGCCCTTTCTTCAATGCTGAATCTCAGTGGCCACTGCCGCTTGGTGCAGAAGGACTTTTTCTGGTCACTTTAGAATGAACCAGAGCCTTCCCCAGCCCCAGAGCTGCAGACACTAACCTCCTCCTTATACCTCTCCCACAGATGCGAGTGTCCACATAGGGTGCGTTTCTGAGAATGGTGTTAAGGGCTCTGGGACACATTTGGGATTTTGATGGATGCTTCCTATCCAGTCACCCCTCTCTAGAGATGGTGTCCTCTGCCTCATGGTCAGACAGTGACATTTTGGAGGAGGGATGTCAGTGTCCCAGGTGGCTTTATGGGGATTCATTCCTTTACTTAGGAATGCTGGCATTCCTCTCTGTTGAGGGCCCACCTTGTACCAGCTCCCGTTCAGGTGGCCGAGGCTCAGTGTGCCTCAGGAGAGTCCTCATGGCATCTCTGATTAGGAGAGAGGCAGACTTGCTAGTTAGTAGTTGATGCCACAATTACTTCACTAGAATTGGGAGACATATGGGGTTGGAGCAGGCACCCCTGGGAAGAGTGAGCTTTTCAAGCTCTCTGGGAACACAGGGACAGAGGCAGAGCCTGCGGACATGAGTGGGCTTTAGTCCCACAGAGATGAGGGAATGGAGCTGTTGAGATAGAGGGAGTAGTGGCTGCAAGGTCCTGGGGCCAGAAGAAAGTGGGTGCTTTCCCCCAAACCCCACTTTGCCTGGAGCCCCAAGAGAGGAAAGGCCGAGGGTGGGTAGACAGACCCCAGCCATGCTGGTCCAAGTCCTCATGTTAAGAGTGGTGGGCAGCCCTTTGGGAGCACTCATCTGGAATGGGGGCACCATCTGGGCATTCTGAGGTCAGTTCAGCTAAGCTGGAGTACACTTCCTTTATTGTGGCCCAGAAAAGGCCCAGAAAGGTCATGGATCACCAGGGTGTCTAGCCTAGCTCCCCAGAGCAGGAGACCCCATTCCTGGCTTGCAGGACCCCGGGGCATGGCTCTTTCATTCATTCTCTTCATCACGTCACAGTGTTGTGGAGGCCTGTCAGTACCAGGCACTGTGGCGGGTGCCAGGCAAACAACACTAACCTGTAGTGGCTGTGGACACCACCTCAGCGGAGCTGAGAGTCAGGAGTAGACCTACCAACTTCCGTAAAGGGCCACAGAGTAAATATTTTAAGATTTGTGGTTCATATAGACCCTGCCAAAACTCTCAGCTCTCCAGTGAAGAAGCAAGCCGTAGGCCCTATGCGAACAGACATGGTTGCTTTATTAGCAGACAGAATGTGGGCCCTTGGGCTGTGTTTTGCCCGGCCCTGCTTTAGCAGGACAAGTTCACTAAACACATGCATCAGAAGTGGTGGGAGTCGGTGTGGGTGCAAAGGAGATGTGGCGGGAGATGGGGTTGGGGGCGATGTTTTGGGGGACAGTCTATGGAGGTGCTGGTAGAACAGATCCATGGAATAAGGAAGATCTTGAAGGGAGAGGAGACAGCTCTCTCAAGGACTCTGAGCAGGAACTGCTTGATGAGAGGTCAGTGGGGCCTGTCTCTGAGTTGTTTGGGGGCATTGGGCACAGGTGGAGTGGAGAGACAGGCTGGTGACAGGGACAGACTGGGCCCATGATGACCTCAGGCCTGATCTAAAGGGCCAGAGGAAGCAATGAAGGACAGTTTCCCAGAGTGGACATTGGACAGAGGGGACTTGGGGAGACTGAGATAGAAGAGGGGGCTTGACTCAAGATGGACATGAGTTGCAGGGAATACTGAGGCCTGGTCTGTGTGTTGAGAGGTCAGAGGTCAGGATTTGTCGGTGGCTGGGGTAGGAGTCACGAGAGTTGAGGAGCCAAGGCTGACCACATTCCTGATGGAGAAGGGAGAGCCTTGGAGGAAGAGTTGGTGTGGGGGTGGTGGGGACCGCCATCCCTTGGTGGCTCTGCAGAAATTCCCCAGTGAGGAATGTAAGGGACCAGGCTTGGAGATCAAGGGACAGAGTGAGGTGACTGAGCAGCATGGTCTGCTGGAGTGACACTCTTTTTAGTGATGGGCCCTTGAGATGGTACAGCAGAAACCCAAGATGGCCGCTGCTGTTTAAGTCTCCCTGCATCCCCTCCCACTAACAGTTTGGGGGCCCCATAGCCATGATCCTGACTTTTGGGAACTCAGGGGCTCCTTAGAAGGAGTTCTGAGTCTACTAATTCCATGTCTTTGGGGATTCTTGTCCCCTCCTGGGTCACATCTATAAAGGGACATGAAGGAGCAGGTAACCCTGGTTCTAGAAAGCTTCTCACACTTAGACAAACACAGACTTCATGGATCCTAGAATCCCTGTGGCCCCTCTGCGTCCCGTGGCCACATCATACGTGTGAAATGAGGAGGCCAGTTGCAGCCCCGGAGAGAGCAAATTCGAGTTAAGGGGCTGTGATCCACACTGATACGAAGTAACCTCACTGGGGAGGGAGGCTCAGAGTGCACTATACGATAAATAGCTGGAGCACTCACCGTTTGGCTGTGGGTCTGTGGTGCCGTGAGCTGTGGGAGATATAAAATTCACTTTAGCAACTTTCACTGTGTCTATGATCATGCAGGTGTGTATGGGTGTGCACGTACATATGTATACATGCACACGGAGGCCAGATTTGGTGTTGGATGTCTTCCTCAGAGGCTCGCCACCTTCTTTTTTATGACAGGGTCTCTCACTGAACCTGTAGTTCATGGATTTGAGTATATGAGCAGGCCAGTGAGCTCTGGGGATCCCCATCTCTGCGTCCTCAGTGCTGGGGTTACAAGGATGTACTGTCATGCCTGACTTTTATGTAGGCTCTGGGATTCAAACTTGGGTCCTCATACTCGCATACCAGGCAGTTAACACACCAAACCATCTCTCCAGCCCCTAAAATGCACTTCTGAGGGGCAGGTTTAGGTTCAGCCTGGAGGCTACTAGGTCAGTTTGCCTTCCACACTTCAGCCAGCGACTCAGCTGGTGTAGCCAACGCCTGTCGTTCTGGACTCTTCTTGAGGGAATTTGGGATCAAGTAGCTTCTTCACTTTCCTTGTGGCAAGCTCAGGGTTTGGCATGGTGGGGTATTGAAACCAGCCAGCGACAGGAGCCCACGCCCACCCATGACTGTGACTCTGCACCCCGGTTCTGCTTTAGAGGCTTAAAGACCCCCTCCCCCTTCTCTTTCCAGAAGAACCGAACGCACATAAGGCCATCAGCTCACCCTCCGGACTCGCATACCCCGATGATGTCCCGGACTATGGCCTCAAGCCAGTCAACCCCCTCGCCAGTCTCTCTGGCGAGCCCCCCGGCCAGTTCGGAGAGCCGGATAGGCTAGGGTTCCAGAACTTTCTGAGCCCCGGCAAGCCAGCGGGGGCTTCGGGCCCGAGCCCTCGGATCGAGATCACTCCATCCCACGAACTGATGCAGGCAGGGGGGGCCCTCCGTGGGAGAGACGCCGGCCTGCCCCCCGAGCAGCCGGCCCTGGCCCTGGCCGGCCTGGCCGCCAGCCCGCGGTTCACGCTGCCCGTGCCCGGCTTCGAGGGCTACCGCGAGCCGCTTTGCTTGAGCCCCGCTAGCAGCGGCTCCTCCGCCAGCTTCATTTCTGACACCTTCTCCCCCTACACCTCGCCCTGCGTCTCGCCCAATAACACCGCCGGGTCCGACGACCTGTGCCTCCAGTTTCAAAACATCCCTGCTCATTATTCCCCCAGAACCTCTCCAATAATGTCACCTCGAACCAGCCTCGCCAACCCTGAGGACAGCTGCCTGGGCCGACACTCGCCCGTGCCCCGTCCGGCGTCCCGCTCCTCCTCACCCGGTGCCAAGCGGAGGCATTCGTGCGCAGAGGCCTTGGTGGCGCCCCTGCCCGCAGCCTCACCCCAGCGCTCCCGGAGCCCCTCGCCACAGCCCTCGCCCCACGTGGCACCCCAGGACGACGGCATCTCCGCTGGGTACCCCCCCACGGCTGGCTCTGCTGTTCTCATGGATGCCCTCAACAGCCTGGCCACCGACTCGCCCTGCGGGATCCCCTCCAAGATATGGAAGACCAGTCCTGACCCGACCCCCGTGTCCACCGCCCCGTCCAAGGCGGGCCTGGCTCGCCACATCTACCCTGCCGTGGAGTTCCTGGGGCCTTGTGAGCAGGAGGAGGGGAGGAATTCCGCTCCCGAGTCCATCCTGCTGGTACCACCCACCTGGCCCAAGCAGCTGGTGCCGGCCATTCCCATCTGCAGGTGAGTGGGGCTTTGAGAGCTGTGTGTGCCCACGGGCACTCTAGATGCTGGCTTTCTTGTTGTTTACCTGGAATTTAGTCACATGGATGTCATTTAAATCCTGGCTTAGACACCTTGCTGGCTCTGAGTACCTGAGAGTACCTTAGCTTCCCCAAGCCTTATTTGCCCATCTGTAAAATGGGTAACATGGGTGTCTCTGATACAGCAGGTGGTTGTGGGAGTTATTGTACAATATGCGTGATGGCTGTCCCCTAGGGCACATCATTTACTCCTTCATTCAGCAAGTACTAATAAAGTTCCTACTGTGTGCTGGATTCCTTTTCAGTACAGATAGCTGTGACCTGGGCAAAGAGTGGACCTCAGCATGGAACACCCGCTTCCTCATTCTAAGAGGAACTGTGTGTGAGGGGCATCTATTGCTGCCTTTGGACTGTGCTCGGTGATGAGGAGGCCCAAAGAGCAATAAATTGCACAGGGCTCAATCCTCAAATAGCTTCAGAACCTGGCAGGCCGAAGCGATGAGTGTGGCTCCCAGGGTAGAGGCTTCGGGATGTGTGAGGACTGAATGTGTGTCCTGGCTCTGCCATTCATTGCCGGTGTGGACGTGGGCATTGTGCTGTCCTTCTGTTGTGCCTGTGACAGACATTGGTAAACAATCATGATTCTCTCATTGAGCACACTTATGAGACTGTTCCCAGAGCAGACATCACTAATCAACCAGGACTCCCCTACCCCAACCCCTGCATGTTTACTGAGCACTTCTTTGGGCCTTGTTCATTGGCTGTGAGATGAGCATAGAGTAGTACCTACCTCACAGTGACTTTTTCTTTTTCTTTGAGAACTAGGTAAAATGACACACGTCAGGGTCTTGGCTTAGAGCCTGTTCAGAGTAAGAGCTCAGAGGAGGGACAGCGGCTGCCATCACGTTCTTACGGGGCATCTTAGTTTCTTTCCGTGCTTCTGCACTGAAACACCCCGACAAATGAAACATAAGGAAGGAAGGGCCCACAGGTCCGGGGTGCAGCCCATCGCGGTGGGGAAGTGAAAGTGTCAGGAGCCTGAAGCGGCTGCTTACGCCACGTCTACGCACGAATGCTTGTGTACAACTTTCTGTTTCCTTTTTATACAGTCCCGGATCCCAGCCTAGGGAATGGTGCTTCTCACTGTGGGTGAATCTTCCCACCTTAATCTCATCAAGATGATCTGGGCACACCTAGTGGCCTGTCTCCCAGGTGATTCCAGAGCTCACGTTGACAGTTGAGATGAGCCATCACTCTGGAGCTTTAGGAAGGACTTCTTTGCTGACAGGCCTGTGCCAGGAGATTAATCTCGTGGTAGAGTGACGGTGGTGACATCCGTAACCACCGATGCCCAAGGAGGCCTGCTGTGTGCCAGCAGTGTTCTGTGTAGCATCTCGCTTTTTCCTCATGTGAACCTGGGCTGGTGTTATCTGGCATTTAAAAAAAAAACTTCATTTGGACGCTGAGGAGAAGGAGGTGACTGAGGGGACATGGGCTGCCCTTTCCTCTCTGCTCTGTCTGCCAGCTGAAGCACAGGTGGCCCGGGCTGTCACTATCACCCGTGTGCTACCCACATGGTGCGGCTTTAACAAACAGAACTTTCTCACCTGATAAAGCATTGTGTTGAGTTGAGCGGGGTGTATGTGTGTGTGTGGTGGGGGGGAGACTGAGCTTGTCAGCACCTCACAGGCTGCGCTGAGTGGGAAAGAATGCACTTGATGGACGGATGGTCTCTGCCATGAGTGCAAACCAGGATGTGCCAAGGAACCTGTAGAGGCCCACAAAGGTTCCTAGTGAGATCTGAGCTTGCTTTACCCAGCAGGGCTGCATTAGAGGATTGCTTGTCCATGTGCATGGTTTCTAGGTGATTGGAAGGGTCTATACTTGGCTGAGCTAGGGGGAGGTCTTTTGCTCCACCCCTTGGCATTCCTATAAAAAGCCCTTTAGGAGAGACAGGAGGGGACAGTGGATTAGGATCCAGGCCCTTTCCAGGCTATCCTGTGTTTCTGTTTCTCTCCCCTCTATCCTTCTATCTAAATCTCTTATCCCTCGTTCCTCAGGAGTACCCTGGGTAAAATGTGGTCTCCCAGCTGGGCTCTCACAGGAACCCACGTATGTGCTACTTCATAGGACCTTTGAATGTGCCAGTCTTTGAAATAAAACTGCTTGTCTGCCCACCCACCCACCTATTCATCCATCCATCTACCCACCTATCTCTCCATCCATCCATTTATCCACCAACCTATCTGTCCATCCATCCATCCATCCATCCATCCATCCATCCATCCATCATCCAACCATCCATCATCCATCCATCCATCCATCCATCCATCCATCCATCCATCATCCAACCATCCATCATCCATCCATCTATCCATCCATCCATCCATCATCCATCCATCCATCCATCATCCATCCATCCATCATCCAACCATCCAACCATCCATCATCCATCCATCCATCCATCATCCACCCATCCATCTATCATCCATCCATCCATCCATCCATCCATCCATCCATCCATCCATCATCCCAGGCATCTATCCCATCTACCCACTTAATATTTTCTGAGATCCTACCCAATGCCAGGGTTGCTCTAAATCATTCCATGGTGAGACTTTTCTCAGTCCCGTTTAAAAATCAGTTAGTAAGACAAGAGCCGTGTGGAGATGAGAGCATGTCCTAGACTTGGAGTTAAGGGACTAGAATTGGAGCCCAGCCCGTGTCTCACCCTGTGATCTTAGGTAACGTTTTATGTTTCCTGAGACACAGAAGGAAGGTTCTGGGTAGATTTTCAAGACCTTGGTTGACTTTCTAATGACATAATTCTAGGCCATGTTGAGTAGCTGTTGTATATACTGGGTGGCGTTGAGACTCCAGGAAAATGAAACTTAATACCTGCCCTCAAGGTTTGCTCTCTGCATCTGACACCATAGCCAAATCAGAGTCCATAGAAAATGATGTGTGTGTGTGTGTATAGCACATATATGTGTGTATGTGTGTCCCTGTATATGTGTGTGGTGTGTGTGCATGTACATGCATGTATATGTATGTGTGTGGTATGTATATGTGTGTGCCTATACTACGTGTGTGCATTTTCAAAGGAAAACCATTAGTACTAGTGTCATTGACTACTCTGATGCTAAGATCCCCATAGGATTTCAGTATACCTACTTCACAATTGAGGGAACTGAGACCCAGGGAGTTGCAGGTATCTGCTCAAAGTCACGGGGGTCAGTGTTAGGGCTGAGACTTGAACTTGGGGATGGAACTCCAGTCATGATATGGTGTCCCTTTGAACTTTACATTGGGGTTACATACTTGATTCGCTCATACCCAAGCTAGATTCCTCTCTGGGCTTCTGGGATGCATTGCTCAGTGGCCCATCAACTAGTAATTGTGAATGGACCTGAACTCACTCCCAAATGCACTGCTAGTCAAGATAATCAAATACAGAAACTCTCTCACTTATCCCCTGGTCTCTTTGCCAGAAGACTGTAGCAGACTGTGCCTAAGAAAGGTGACGTACTTAAGTTCATGGTGAAGTCAGGACATACTTCCGGTTGCCACTGAAGCATCCCTGCACTCACATTTGCCCTCTGGAAAAGGAAGTTTTGAGAGGTTGATGTTGTGTTCTTCACGATTCCTGGAGGAGAAGCCATAACAGCCACTGGAAACATGCAGGAACCAACCCATAATGAAATTCGCTTCATCCCCCATGAAGCCAGCTACACTGTCTTCATCAGGATGGAAATGAAAGCAAGGGGAGGCCTCTGCCTTGTGAAGAGCTCCCCCATCATGTCTGAGCAATTTGTAGCCCTCAGCACTCAGCATTTTATTCCTCCATCCCTGGGTACAATTTCCAGAAAAGGTGCCATTTACATTTAGTGTACAGATGGACTGATGTGGTTTTCCATCCTCATGACCTGGTCTTTCCTTCCCACAGCATTCCTGTGACTGCATCCCTCCCTCCACTAGAGTGGCCACTGTCCAATCAGTCAGGTTCTTATGAGCTGCGGATCGAGGTCCAGCCCAAGCCTCATCACCGGGCCCACTACGAGACGGAGGGCAGCCGTGGTGCTGTCAAGGCCCCGACAGGAGGTCACCCTGTGGTGCAGGTATGGACTCAAATTCTCTTATTTTTGTGCCCTACATTTGTTACCAGGAGATTTACTCTGCCTTGCTGCTGCTTGTGAGGCCAAGGACATCTCATTTCCTTACTCCCTGGAGGGAGAGAAACCTAAGATGTTGTGAGTATCAAGAGCCTACTGGAGAATTGCATTCTTGGGGGGAAGTCTCCAGAGCAGGGTGAAGAAGCATGATGCTTATGTAGAAGATGGTCCTTCCTCTTCTTTATGATGGAGAGATTGCTAGGACCTGGCAGAGCTGATAGAACTATGAGCTTGCCGCTTGCTTTTTCCTGATCGACATCCTTCATGCCTGTGGCTTGTAGGTAAACCAGAGATTTGTACAAGGACAGAAGTGTGATTTTTTTCCCCCTCCAAAACAGTTGAATTGAAACATTCTTCAAATTCTATAATCTGGTTAATGAGGAAGTACCACAGGTGTCTAGGTTCTGGCTGGTGAACCCACACAGTTCAATTAACCAGAATCTTCTAGACGTTTAAGTTACTGTAACCATAGGGACCTCGACATGGTGTTCATAAGCACCCTTGAGGGCAGATTCTTAAAAACGCAGTTTTGCCAGGCTTGGTCGTTAAGGAAGCAGAGGCAGGTGGATCTCTGTGAGTTCCAGGTCAGTCAAGGCTACAGAAGGGGAGCCTTCCTTAGAAATTATAAAACAGGTGTAGAGACCAGACAAAGAGAACCCCCAAATGCTAAAATTCTCCCCGAGGGCACTGGGTGTGTTCCCCTGGTTCGGGACTGACTGATCTAAGCACTTGATACACATGCATGACAAAGTCATAATGAAGCCCATTGTTCTGGACAATTAATACATTATGTGCCAAGAAGAAAGGGGGAAAAAGAAATAAAAATCCAGGCACAGCCTGTGCTCTGACCCAGCAGCCCTAGAGACAGTTTCTTTCGGTCACCTGCCCCTTTCTTTATATCTTGTGTTGTTATTTCTGCTCTGACATGGCGCCCATACAGACTGGCGCGTGCTGGGTTTTGTTATCTCCCTCTAATGGTGGTCAGCCCAAGTACTGGCTGAGCATGTGTCTCGATGGCACAGCTGGCTGGTTAGAGCGTGTCTGTGGGAGGTCCCTGTTGCTTCTCACTGCCTGGGGTCCATCCTGGGCAATCTGCTTCCGGTGGATCTAGTTGAGCATGGGCTTTGGGCCCTAAGTGGGTAGGGAGCACTGAGGATGCCCTGACTCCAAGACCTGTCCGCCGGACGATTGGTGGGTCACTACACCCTAGGGAGCCAGAGGGCTGAGCGTCCAGTCCTATTCAAGTCCCCAGCTGTCCCCATCACCATCACCCTCTGGCCTTGCATAGCCCTTGGCCGAGGCCTTGAGGCTCCTGAGAGACTGCCTTCTCCACCATGGATTCCAGCTGCTGGGAGGCTAAAGTCCATCCTGTCGGCTCACGGGGGCTCCACACTGTTTGATTTCCAGTCCTAGGCCTGGAAGCGAAGTGAACATGTACTGGCCTGTCTCATAGGTATCCCTGCCCTCAGGGCCACAGTTCATGTTGAGTCTCTGTGGCAGGAGAGCTGCTCAGTTACCAGCTATTTGAACACACCTAAGACTACTTCGTTTTTTTAAGTCTTCTGTTAGTATCGACAAGGCTTAGCTGTTTGGGGATAGGACCCTGGCCTGCTGGTTGCTGGGAGACTGGGTCCTGATAGGAAACTCACTGAAGGAAGACGAGGAGAAGAGCCATCAGAGGCAACTTCCAGGCACTCCAGCATGCCCGACACCAGACTGGAAGCCAGGGCCGGTGGATTCGCGGCTCAAGCATTTGTGGCACTTACCCTGCATCTGCACCGTCTGCTGGATTTGCTCTCAACACAGGAAGAGCAAGGGGTTGTGTGCCTCTTTTGTGAGGGGGAGACGTGTGTAAAACAGAAGTGAATGTGGAGTGGGCAGAGGTTGGTGGAGTTCTCTGAGGAAGGGGCCGAGGACACAGGACACTGGGGGTTGGGGACAGCTTGTGCCCAGGAGCCCAGGAGGAAGGGTACTTGAGAGGATCAGAAAGAGGCTGGTATAACTGGAGGGGCCAGAGCAGACAGGGCCCAGGCTGTGGTGTCGGGGGAGGGGCTGCGGCTAGTAGATGGACCAGGAAGGAGACACAGGACTCAGTTCTAACTGTCCATGTGGAGAAAGAGCTGAGAGGAAGCTCTGTGCACTTTGGTGCATGAGCTATGTTCATTCACTGGTCACTTAATGTGTATTTACTGAGCACCTGCTGTGGACTAGGCTAGGTTCTGGGTTCTGAGTGTGACAGAAACCCAGCAGCCAGATTTTACAGTTAACACGATGATGGACATTTTGGAAGCATTTCCCACACATGGGACCCCATTCCATTTTTAATCATCATCAGGGTGAGGTCTCAAAACTTGTTCAAGGTCACTGTTGTTTAACACCGTCGGAGTTCTAGCTGCTTCAGGGCCTTGCTTGCCATTCATGGGTAGCTCAGCCTGACTTCCCACTCACGGAGAAAGCTGGTACCCATGCTTCCTGCCGACACTCTGTCCTCAGTGCATCACATGCAGTCCTGGCCCTGACTCTCTGGCCAGCTCACTGGAGCCCAAGTCCTGGTCCCCCTGAAGATTCTGACTGACTCTGGCCAGAGGATCATGCCACCACTGAGTGCAGTTGGCCGAGGCTTTGGCTGGGAGGCCATGTGAGAAGCTGGCCTCAGAAATAGGAGCAGATGTGATAGTGGCTGAGATCAAGAGGGAGACAGAGAAAGCCTCGGGCCTGAGCGGAGAAGCTCTGCTGCTCTTCCAGGGCCACAGAGGGCCGAGCTCCAGCTCTCCTACAACTTCTGCCCCATTCGTCTAGGGCTGAGCCATGGAAAGTTCCAGAAAGGGAGTGGGCTGGATGGTAAGTTCAGAGGAGGCCTGCCATTCTGCACCCAAAGTTCACATCCCTCTTCTGGCCTGTGACTTTGAAAGCCCAACATGAGCTTGTGGATGCTGTAGTCTGTTCATTTCTTTCTTTCTTTCTTTTTCTTTCTTTCTTTCTTTCTTTCTTTCTTTCTTTCTTTCTTTCTTTCTTTCTTTCTTCCTTCCTTCCTTCCTTCCTTCCTTCCTTCCTTTCTTTCTTTCTTTCTTTCTTCCTTTCTTTCTTTTTTGAGACAAGGTTTCTCTGTGTAGCTTTTGCACCTTTCCTGGAACTCACTCTGTAGACCAGGCTGGCCTCAAACTCACAGAGATCCACCTGCCTCTGCCTCCTGAGTGATGGGATTAAAGGTGTGCGCCACCACCACCCAGCCTCATTTTCTTCAAAAGACACTAGGTGGATTATTCTTTAAAACGTCATTGAATGGACTGTGATCACTGTAAAATGAAATGCGGGGCACCTGTGTTTTAGCACGGGAAGCAGATTTTAGCTGGGAACCTTTGTGGCTGGGGATGTGGTTCCTTTGGTAGACTCCTCACCTTGCAGGCAGGACACCCTGGGCGCCTCCCTCAGCACTACATAAGTGGCGTGGTGGTACACACGTGCAATCCTAGCACATCTGTTGGCTCCAGATCAAGGATTCTGGAGGAAGCATGGGGCCTTGTCATATAACCCTGGCTGTCCCCTCACCCCAGGCAGCAGCTCCCAAGCCCCTGTCCAGGGGGCCCCTCCTGTCAGGAGGCTGGGGAAGCCAGCAAGCTTTCAGTGTCGGGATTGCTGGAGGCCTCCAGGGTCATCTGTTGACTTTCAGACTGTCACTCACTCTGAAGCCTTGCAGGAGAAGGGAGGAGAGTCAGCTGGGTGCCCCTTCCTGGTGAGGGTAGGGAACAGAGCCCCTCAGGCAGCCGGAGCCCCTCAGGCAGCCGCCTGCCTGCGTGGTCTTCTCAGATAAGTCTGTGAGCTCGGGGACTCCCTGCTTCCTTTTCAGATGTGTGACAGGAAGTGGGTCTTGCTGATGGCCACTTGTCAGGCTAGAACTGGTGTGCTGGCATCTGTGGAGGCTCATGGGGCCCTGGATGTGGGGGGGAGGGGAGGAAGGTGGGCTCAACTGGGTGGGGGAGGGGAGTGGCTCCCCTGACTGAGACTTCAGAAGAGAAAGAGGCTGGAGGGAGGGGCGTGCTTTGACGTGGCTGAGGACTATTTGTTTATAAGTTCCTTAGCTCTGCCCCCACAGAGATGACCCAATTGAAAGACCTGATAAAAAGAAAAGTGAGGGCGGGTGAGATGGCTCGGCAGGGGCTTGCAGCCAAGCCTGATAGCCCGAGTTCCATTTCTTAGTTCTACATGTTGGAAGGAGAGGAGTGACTTCCAGAAGCTGTCCTCTGACCCCCACATGCACCTCATGGCGCGTTTTCCCGGTTGGGCTAACTGTAGCGGAGATCTTTCTTTGCTGTCTGACCGTGTAAGGTGATGACATCCTGTCCATCCACGCAGACTCCTCTTTGTTTTCTGTGTATGTGGGAGGCAGCTCGTATTGACTTGATCCAACCCTGTTATCAGAAGATAAAGATGGGAAAAGGTGGGGTGGGCAACATATGAACACAGAGTCCCTGCTAGAAGCCACCCCCGTGTCCTGTCCCCTATCCTCTGGACCCGTCCCCTTGTGTGGCATTAGTAGTTTAACCAAAACTTTATAGAATACACAGTTCAGGCCAAGGGCATCTGTGGGCCGCCTGTGGCTCTGTGACCCGCCTGGGGGCAGCTGTGGCTGTGGTGACCCCAGGATGTGACCCCAGGATGACACACCTGAGGTGAGCAGAAGAGGGAGACAGTAGAGTCTGCTGCAGACACCAAGGTGATGGAGCCGTGGTGTGGGCTCAGTTTCTCCCCACCGAAAACACCCAGGGGAAGAGGGCTGTGCCTCGAGTCTCTCTTAGAAGACCAAGTGTCCCCAGTGAGACATTTCAGGTCGAGGCAGAGCATAGAGGCTTCCAGCATGTTGGAGGAGCCATTGTTTCTCAGAGGGAGAGTGTAGAAAGCAAGGTTCTCAGGCTCTCTCTGAGCACGCGTGTCATCCTAAGAGTCGC